TTTCAATTATTATACATTATATATGTAAATAGATTATTGCAATTTAGAAATAAGTTCTTAGATTTATTTTTCTTAAAACATAGAACAGTAAATAGAGAAGTAAAGCAAACAATTATATCTTCTAGTTAAGACCTTTGTACTCAGTTGCTGAGCCTTTTAAAATTTTGCACATGGAGGATACGAAACAAAATATTTTTTTTAGGTTTTATATATGCAGTTGAATAACCAAAAAATCATAAATTACTATATCAATGCCACAGAATTCCACTACAATTTATCAAACTTAGTAACTAAGCTGTATTTCAGTCTAAAAAAATATGAAATTTTGAGCAGACTAAAGACATTACCTAACTCCTTGAAATCTTGATTCGAAAGAAAGAGATGGCATCCAAACATGTCAAAATGACTGAGATAGCCACTAGGGGAACATACTGAGCTTCCAAATGGTTATTTATGTCATATATAGAAGTGTATATAAGGAGGGCAGCACCACTGTGTTTGATTTATTACATGAGCAATATCTTAGCAAATTGAAAAGATAAGTGGCTCTTATTTTATATTCTAGTTTGTCAATATTGGTAGTTTGAGTTCCTAATTCGTATGAAACTATAGAGTTAGTATTTTAACATCACAAACATCTAATTTGAATCAATGCTGCATTCAACATACCACATGACACACAAAAATTGATATTTAGGTGTGTTCTTTTAATATTTACTTTTAAATTGAGAAATTGAGTGAGGTATAGTACTAAAATTTCAAATATAATCTACAGTTTGATACCAAACTTATTGACATAAATTCATGAAATATTAGTTCAATAAAATTTTGAATGCGAGTAAACAAACGCGATGATATGGCCTTTGACCCATGTGGAAAGGGTTAGCCAAGATTCTTTTACTTTCAAGGCACATTTTAACTGAACTTGTGGATACAACTGTTTGATAATTTTCTTAATTTGCTTCTTAATTATGCATACCTCCAGTTTCTTCCAGATCATCCTTCATTGCTGAGAAGAATTTCAACTTGAAATGCTAGAATCTCTTCCCATTAAGCTAACAAAACCTGCTCTTAAACAGAATATGAAAACACTGCCATTACATCTTTAGCTGTGAAAATGTACAGAAAGAAACAGTACATGACCTTCAATCATTGAATGTGAGGTAGGCTAAAACCTTAAATCCTACCTATGATGAACACTATACACATAATCAATGATGACAGAATCTTGATGGGTTGAAAGTTATGTACAGAAGCATATTAGTGCTATCTACAAAAGAAAAATATTAACTTTTAGAAAATTGAAAAGTGCAAAACTGAAAAAATTTAAGATGGTGTATTTTATAAACTATTTAATAATAAAAGTACTTGATTTTTTGCCACATTTGCATATGCAAATAAAAAAATAATCAAACATTTTTGAAATTGCTCACTTTTTTATGCTTTTGAAGTTCTTCTTCAAATTCAACAGCAGCAGGATCTTCACTCACACCTGAAATATCAGGAAAATATTATTATTGTGTTTAATATGCAATAAATATTTCTGATGTCTGAAATTGGCAGTTTTCAGTTCAAGTCAGCCTTATAAACTTGTTGAATTATTCTTACATCAAAATATATACTTACAGGTAGTTTCTTTAAACTGAATTTGACATAAAACAACTCAAAATGTATTCAATTACTGTCTTTAACCTTTTTCACAAATTAAATGTGAAAAAACAAATAAGTGAAAATGAAATCATTTTCAACCATGTATTTTGTTTCATTGATTTGATTCTGAAATGCTTGATGTACCCTTAAAATAAAAGTGGCTTAAAATATACACAGGTACTTTTTTCCTCTAAAATACCTTGCTTTTGGTCCAATTATTTAAACTAACATGAACGAAGTGCAATGCCTACACTGTACTAATGATACACAAGTACACAAAATGCTTGTGGAAAATGTGTGTCAAACAAAAACTTTACACAAAGAATAAACTTTAATACAATATACAGTGTATTGGGAAAAGCCACAAGATGTAAATCTAAGGTAAAAACTTTCAAAAAAAGATTTTACAGGAAGTTTAACCATGTATGAAACTGTTTCAAATATGTTTGAAACTGTCATTATTAGGTCATCAAGAAATTAATGTCACTTTTTTTTAGATGAAAAAACCAGACCATCTTATACATCAAAACATTTATTAAATGAAATATTGCCTGTTCTTATCAGACCATCTTATACATCAAAACATTTATTAAATGAAATATTGTCTGTTCTTATCGATGATGCTTTTCCATCAATGTCCTCTTTAACACCTTCCACATTTGCATACGTTTTCCCATTCAGATGATGTTGCAGTGAACGAAAAAAATGGTAATCTGATGGTGCCACATCTGGAGAATATGGTGGGTGGGGGAGAACTTCCCAACCCAACTCCATAACCTTGTGTTGCGTCAAACATACCACATGTAGACGTGCATTGTCGTGGAGAAGAAGAACACCTTTTCGATTGATGAGTGAAGGGTGTTTCTGATGAAGGGCTTGATTTAAATGTTTGCTGTGGGTTGAGGAATTTGAAATGAATTTCTCCTTTGATGTCCCACCAAATGCAAATCATCACTTTCTGTGGAAGGAGTTCAGGTTTTGGGGTCAAAAGTGGTTTTTGTTTAAGACTGAGTCACTGTTTTTGGTATTTAATATTCGCATAAAGAATTTATCTTTCATCACTGGTGACAATTCTGTCCAAAAATGGTATATGCACCAGAAGAGCCGAAGCAACATCCACATGTTGAAAACGATGATCATCTGAGAGTTCGTGAGACATCAAAACACCTTCTTTATGTAGTTTTCCCATATTCCTTAGATGTTCACGTATTGTTTCATGAGAGATATGAAATTTCAGGGCCATTTCACAAGTGTGTTGCCTTGGTTTAAACTCAACAAGCATCTTCAGAGCATCACTATCAATTCCAACATCTCAGCCCCTGCCATCACAGTTTTTATGGCTAAAGTCACCTGAACGAAATTTGCTGAATCATCATTGACACTTACGAACATTCAAAACATTT